TGGCATATTCAAGATATATGTATGTATATTTCACATATATAAATTAGGCGCGGTATACGTTTTTCTTTTTTCCTATGCGACCGGCTGAATGCGCGCGCAGCTCTTGCCGCGCGTGCGCATTCAGCCGGCGGGGCGGATCGGAGGCGGAGAGAAGGAGGAGAGCTCTCCGCCCAGCGCTGGAAAAAGGTAAGTTATTACACCTTTCCCCCTTCCAGAGCCGGGCGGGAGGGGGACCCTGAGGGTGGGGGCACCCTCAGGGCACTATAGTGCCAGGAAAACGAGTATGTTTTCCTGGGACTATAGTGGTCCTTTAATTCTTTATTTCAAGTAAATTGTTATGTCTAAAAAGACAAAGTTTCAACCAATAACCCTGGCAATCGTCTCCCCTCTGACCTGCACAGGAACATGACATAATAGAGACAATAATTGCTATGGGTAGAAACGTGAGGAGTAATTTGAGAAAATAATACTTGCTGAAAAGATGATAGATACCTGAAATAAAGGAGTAAAGTATGTATTTGGGTACACAAAACAATTAAGTAAATACATTTGTCATTAATGCAAAATTTCATAATGGGTTAAATAGGTAGGTTCTAATAGTGTTTGGTCACACCATCACTAGAAAAGCTAGGCGATTTTCCCCTAGATTATATTACCCCACGCAAAAAAATTTAATTGATATAACCCATGATTCTGCTAGAAAAACTATTCAACTTTCAGATAAATTACAATCTCACATCTAAATTATATCACCTTGTTAACAGCTGCTAATGAGCCATTCGTGAATCTCACCATTCTGATACTTCTGTACAGCACTACTATTATTGGGTCAATCTAAAGGAGCCCTGTATGATATGTCAAGCACTCGAGTTTCAGCACTCCCAATCCTAATTATTGACACTTTCATACAATCACTGGAAACTCAAAGGGCCTAAAATAAGGCTATTCATTATAATAAATATGTATCATTTAGAATTTCTTATCTCCTGCTCTGTTAATAATTATTATTATTATTTATAAAGCGCCAACAAGTTCTGTAGCGCTGTATAATGGGTGGACTAACAGACACGTATTTATAACCAGACGAGTTGGACACATAGGAACAGAGGGGTTGAGGGCCCTGCTCAATGATGTTACATGCTAGAAGGATTGGGTTTAGTGACACAAAATGTAACGGTAGGGTAGAAAAGTAGGTTGCTAGGATGGTGTACAGTGAGGGTTTTGTTTTGATGACAGTTTCTGGAGAGGAATCAGGGTGCGGGAGGGAAAGCTGTTCACAGTTTAATTGATATGCTTTTGTGAAGAAGTTAGTTTTCAAAGATGTTTTTAAAGAGTGGAGACTGGGTGCAAGTCTAACAGAAAAGGGAAGGATGTTCCATATGAACGGTGCAGCCCTAGAGAAGTCTTTAAGTGAGCATCAGAGGTGGGAGTATGAACAGAGGTTAGACGTAGGTCTTTGGTAGAGCGGGAAATATTTGTGTATTACTGAGGATAGGTAGGTTGGAGCAGGATTGTGTAAAGATTTGCAAGCAAGTATCAGGATCTTAAATTGAGTCCTATATCTTATGGGAAGCCAATGTAGGGCATTAAATAGGGGCGGATGCGCGCTATGTTTTTGAGATGGAAGCATCAGGATTTGGCGATTGATTGGACATGAGTGGTGAAGGAGAGGACAGAGTCAAAGAGAACACCTAGGCAGCGAGCCTGCAAGGTAGAGCTGACGGTAGCGCCATTGACTTGGAGGGAAACAGACAAGGGAATAGCTTGAGGGAGGGAAGACCAGAAGTTCTGTTTTGGACAAGTTAAATTTAAGGAAATGTGCAGCCATCCATTTGTAAATAGCAGAGAAGCAGTCAGAGACACAATTGAAGAAGAGGCATAGCCAGAGAAAGAAACACGGAAAGAGCACTGGGAGATGTAGTATGAGCACCAGGAGAGAACAGTTAATGGCCTTTTAGAGCCTGCAGCATCCCCCTGTGTGTGATTACAATTTAACTTACAGTGTTAATAGTAAAGTAAGTTAAGATCTGATTGAAAATGAAATCATTTTTGTCATGCAGGCTGTGTCAGTCACAGGCAGAGGAGGTGTGGCTAGGGCTGGGTAAACATAAACAAAAGTGATTTAGCACCCAAATGGCAGAGAATTCAGCAGTGAGACTTCAGGGGCATGGTCTACACACCCAAACTGCTTTATTAAGCCAAAGTTGTTTTAAAACCTACAGTATCCTTTTAATGACACACAAGTAGCTTTAATTCATTATAAAAAATTTTTTTATGAATTATACAAATAAAAGGAAAAATAAACCCTGGGACTGCAAAATCATGTAGTGAAATAGATAACATAACAATAACTCTTTAGATTAATGGCTCACTTGTCACAAATTAACATCATCAATATATTTAGCTGTATGTAAACTTCAACTTGTGACGCAGTCGAAAAAAGGTGACATTGTTAGCGTATTACTAAATCATGCTAGGTCCAATTTTATGATAATAATATTGGACCTTAAGGAGTGATCACTTTAATAACACTTGCATTCTTCTAATGGCCGAATGTCAAAAAAGGTTAGTGACCATTTATCAATACTGGATTGTACTGAACCTCTAAACTCAGCAGGATAACTTTATTTGTTAGTGTATCACACATCTTTAATGCCCTGATGTAAAAAGATGCCATGCAAAATCGTTTTTGTTTTCTCGATATATCCAGTGCTGCAGAATTGTTTGTCTTGTTTCGTTTTGGTACGTACAGCCGGTTTCCTTTCTTCTGTTATATTTTCCAGGAACGGTCTCTATGCCGATGAAGGTACATTATTATTTATACAAGATAATGTGACGTAAATCAATGTTGTTCTTTCAGTAATAGTGAAGGTCATTGAATTTTTGCATGAATTAATATTCCTGTTTCCTGGTCTCATTCTATGTGAGAAGTTACTTTTGCTGTAGTACAGACTTAATTGTTACTTCTGCAAAAATGTTTTTCCAGTTGCCTATTTGATTTTCCACTTATTGCAGATTATCAGAGCATGCTATTTTGTAAATAGATAGCTGATGGTTAAAGGAACACGCAGAACGCCATAACCACTACAATGTGCTGTAGTAGTTATGGTGCAGGTAGTGCCTTGGCGCTCGACCTTTGAAAGGAGTCAGACTGTTTTTGCAAAATTCAGATTAAGGAACAGCAAACACAAATAATACAGTTTTAGATTTTACAAGGCTACTTAAAATCACACATTTAAGCAAACAAATATGTGGATTCAGTTACAACCATATGGCCATATTGTGTTAAGCCCACCACTACGTCACGGCATAGGCGTGCGCAGCCTATTGCATTAGGGTGTGCACCCTAAAGCACAAGCACACGCCGCGTATATATATATGTATGTATGTGTATATATATATATATATGTGTGTATATATATATATATATATATATATATACACATACACATATATACACACATACACACACTGCTGTGTGTGTGTGTGTGTGCTGTGTGAGGGTGCTGTTAGTGTGATGTGTGTGTGACGGTGCTGGTAGTGTGCTATGTGGGTGAGGGTGTTTGTGTGCTTGTGAGGATGCTGTTAATGTACTGTGTGTGAGGGTGCTGTTTGTTTGTGTGTGTGTGTGTGTGTGTGTGCGCGCACTTGTGAGGGTGCTATTAATGAACTGTGTGTGAGGGTGCTGTTTGTGTGTGAGGGTACTGGAAGTGTGCTGTGTGTGTGTTTGTTAGGGTCCTGTTTGTGAGGGTACTGTTAGTGTGCTGTTTGTGTGCTGTGTGTGAGGGTGCTGTTTGTGTGCTGTGTGTGAGGGTGCTGTGTGTGTTTGTAAGGGTGCTGTATGTGTGTGTGGGTGCTGTATATGTGTTGGTGCTGTGTATGTCTGTGGGTGCTGTGTATGTCTGTGGGTGCTGTGTATGTGGGTGCTATATGTGTGTGGGTGCTGTGTATGTCTGTGGGTGCTGTGTATGGGTGCTGTATGTCTGTGGGTGCTGAATGTATGTGGGTGCTGAGGGGTGCTGTATGTGTGGTGCTGTGTGTATGTCTGTGGGTGCTGTGTATGTGTGTGTGTGGGTGCTGTATGTGTGTGGGTGCTGTATGTGTGTGGGTGCTGTGTATGTCTGTGGGTGCTGTGTGTGGGTGCTGTATGTGTGTGGGTGCTTTTCTGTATGTATGTGGGTGCTGTATGTCTGTGGGTGCTGTATGTGTGTAGGTGCTGTGTATGTCTGTGGGTGCTGTGTATGTCTGTGGGTGCTGTGTATGTCTGTGGGTGCTGTATGTGTCTGTGGGTGCTGTATGTGTGTGGGTGCTGTATGTGTGTGGGTGCTGTATGTGTCTGTGGGTGCTATGTGTCTGTGGGTGCTGTATGTGTCTGTGGGTGCTGTATGTCTGAGGGTGCTGAATGTATGTGGGTGCTGAATGTATGTGGGTGCTTTGTATGTCTGTGGGTGCTGTATGTGTGTGGGTGCTGTATGTGTGTGGGTGCTGTATTTGTGTGGGTGCTGTGTATGTCTGTGGGTGCTGTGTATGTCTGTGGGTGCTGTGTGTGTGTGTGTGCTGTGTGTGTGTGTGCTGTGTGTCTGTGGGTGCTGTATGTGTGTGGGTGCTGAATGTGTGTGCTGTGTATGTGTGTGGGTGCTGTATGTGTGTGTGTGTGGGTGCTGTATGTTAGTTGCTCTGTATGTGTGTGGGTGCTGTCTGTAGATTGCTGTATGTGTGTGGGTGCTGTGTGTATGTCTGTGGGTGCTGTATGTATGTGGGTGCTGTATTTATGTGGGTGCTGAATGTGTGTGGGTGCTGTGTATGTGTGTGGGTGCTGTGTATGTGTGTGGGTGCTGTGTATGTCTGTGGGTGCTGTATGTGTGTGGGTGCTGTGTATGTCTGTGGGTGTTGTATGTGT